TGTCTCACGGAAGGACACAACAGGATCAGATTTTATAATTTCAGCACCGCCCATAAAGTCATCCTGCAAATCCTTCAGACAGATTTCAAGGTGGAGTTCTCCAGCACCAGCAATAATATGCTCTCCAGATTCTTCAATAGAACAAACAACCATAGGATCAGACTTAGCCAGACGTTTCAACCCTTCAACAAGCTTGGGAAGGTCAGATGCAACCTTGCACTGAACAGCAACACGCACGACTGGTGAGACAGAAAACTTCATTGCTCTGATCGGGTGGGCATCGACTTCCTTTTCATTGGTCAATGTTGCATTCTTGGTAATATATTGATCCAAACCAACCATGGCAACAGTGTTACCACAGGGAACATCCTCGACAGTTTCTTGCCTCTTGCCCATCCAAATAACAGTTCGCTGGATATTCTTAACATATAGATCCTTCTTTTCACCAGGAACATAGTTAGGACCCATGATTCTAACCTTCATACCAGTACAAACCTTCCCAGCAAAGACACGACCAAAAGCAAAGAACCTACCCTTGTCAGATGCTGGAATCATCTTGGATACATACAGCATAAGTGGGCCTTCTGGGTCACAGTTCCTGATGGCATTGGCATAAGCATCATCAAGGGGTCCTTCGTACAGGTTTTCCACACGGTATCTTTGAGCTATGGCAGGAGATGGAAGATGATATATCATCATTTCAAGAAGAGCAGTACTTGCAGGAAGCCAGGTCTGCATCACACGCTTCATCAGTGCCTTGCCCATTAAATCTTTTTCATCAGATTTCATGGTTACACCAAGCTTCTGCAACATAGGCCAGAGCTTATCTTTCTGATCATTCATGCAAGTGTTGATAATCTGCTTGATTGGCTCATAGCAGAATTGAACAAACCCACGCTTGCACGAAGCTGTCCCGCTGTTTTTGGTGGTCCACTTTTTGGTGGCAGGGTCAAAAAAGTTCTCACCCCACAGCCTTTCCATCATCTTAGACTCGTCAACGCCAAATTTGGAAGCATACATCTTGGCAAAATTGGTGAGAGTGAAAGCCCACCCATGCAACCCAGCGGAGAAAGCAACGGTACCTTTCTCAGGATAAACCTGGACATCACCAAGAAGGGGATCCTCATATGTAGCCATGATAACATTAGCGTTCTCAATAACTCTTTGGAACGTCTGATAGGCCTCCTCACCATCAACCTGAAGTTCAAGGAAACACCTGTCCATCTTGTTAACTGTCAAGACAGGACGAATCCTTTCACCAAGGGCCTGACGGAGCACAGTCTCTGTCTGGACACAGACGCCTTCCACACAATCAACCACAACAAGCGCACCATCAGTAATACGAAGAGCAGCAGTCACTTCAGATGAGAAGTCGACGTGCCCAGGTGAATCGATGAGGTTGATGAGGTACTCGTTCCCATTTCTCTCTCCCTTGAAGTTCCTCAAGGATTCATCAGTCATCTCGTAGTAAAGTGAAATACCAGTGGACTTGATGGTGATACCACGCTCAGCCTCATCTGCACGTGTATCTGTCATCCTGACATCACCTGCAACTTCCTGAGCAATGATACCAGCAGCCGCCACCAGAGAATCAGTAAGGGTAGATTTTCCTGTCAGATTAAATATATCATGGAAATTAGAAACTCCAAATCATCTGATAAGTTAAAACCATAGATGGTACCCTATTACCAAAGAATAGAAGAAAACCAAAGAAACAATATTAAGCAAACAGTACCACCCCAAAAATATATAAGGTGGTTTCAGTGCCCAGATTGATTCCAGGTTATCACAAGGAATCATAATTTAAGTTTCCTTCCATTTGACATGGATAACAATTTTACAACAAAGAATTTAGACTACCAATGTACTAATATTTGTATAGTTGCTTACCATGGTCCACATGAGCAATAACAGACATATTACGAATGTTATGCTTGAAGTCCATAATCCTTCGAAGCTCTTCAGCTGTGAACTTCACCATCTTGAATGTTTGTTGTGGTAACTAAGAATTACTTCCTTTTCCTGCCATTTAAAACCACAGCAAATGTTAAACATCAATCAAAACACACTTTATTCTCCCAGAGTGAAAATCCATATGACCGAGTCACCAACTAAAAAAACAAGCTAATTCAAGAGATCCATACAGAATATATCACATGACTCTGAAGTTTACAGAAAAATCACTCCTACTTAATGGAATATAAGCGCACACAACAGCAGGAGATATGGTTAAAAGTTAGAAGGTCAATACCTAAACTGTGATAATTTCAAGTAAGTCACGACTCCACAAATAAACACAAAATCACTGATCAACAAGATATTAAGCTTCTAGAACCACACAGCAGAAACAGAAGGTTTGATGTTCAAATTTTAGACCGATTACAACCACTTGTCCACCATTATACTTGCAGAGTTGCATCTATTAGATGCATATCTCCGTATTATGAACATCTTAATTTAAGACGGACATACACAGAGAATACATATATACACACAAACACATATAAGCACATGTATACACGCGGGCTCACAAACACATACACAGATATATTGTTTCTAAAAGGAAATCATCAGAAATGAAACAGTTTAAACAGATGAAGAGCAAAGAGCTTCCGGAGTATTAACATGAACTAAACACACACACACATATATACAAAAACATCAAAAACCTCTCAACATTCTCAAACGCAACATCAAATGAATCAATAAGATTTGACTTACGGCTAAAATATTTCACCACATTAATAATAACATATATCCATTAACAAACATAACTACAAACAAACAGCAGATCTGGACTAGATCTAGATAAAAGTCACCTAACATATTTCATAAAAATATTCATTTCAAATGATTTTTACCCGATAAAATCAAATCACAGCATAGATCAAATGGTAGAAACTCGGAATCGGAAGGTAGAAAATATGAACGTAGCGAGACGAGAGAGAGGAAATGGTCACTTACTGAGAATAGAGAAGTAGGCGGCGAGTATTGTGAGACCTTACAATTCTGCCGCTATGATAAGCTGAGGTTAAGCATTGTGCGAAGGTATATACCTCTCTTCATGGGCCGCAGCCAGCCTAAAATGGGCCAGAGTACTATCTACAATGGGCCTTTAGTGGGTTGATATAAACAAAAGAGAGAAAATTAGAGGAGATACGTTTTAAACACTTTATTGTCATCCTCCACTTACTCTTTCATAATATGACTACAATATTATATAAAATATAATTGAGTTGCTAGCATAATTATTTGTCCACTTGCTTTTTGTTATCCCCCACTTATTTGGGAATTTTGAATTAAGGGGATGAAAAAAATTAAAAATTAAATTGTAGTGATTTAAGTTATTTTAATTAAGTGTAGGTGATAATTATTTAACAAAGTATTAAGGTGTTTTAAGATATGTGTGGGAGTTGCCCTTAAGTTTGGCTCGACCTTAGAAATACCCAATTAACTAAAAAGTGGGGGGTGGGGGATTGGAAAGATATAGAGACTAAAAGGAAAACTTACGAGAGCTTAATCTCCTTTCACCACCACATCCGGCTGAGCCATTGGAGTCCTGATTTGAAGCAGTGGCATCAACAAGGAGCTCAAGTAATCTTTGCTTCTGATACTAAGTAGATTCTGCATTATTACTTCACCAAGGAAAATTCTTGTTCTTTATCTTCTAAACTTAGCAGCTCAATGTTGACAAAGATCGAGAGGCTGAGAGAGAAATAAAAATATTTGAATATATCATTGTGTTTACAGGAACAAAAAATTTGTCTTAGATTGAGTTTTGGATGATTTCATACAAAGACGTTCACCAAGTCTCACAAACACCATGAAATCCAATCAAAAGAAGACTTCGTCAACTCTATTATATCAAACATGTTCTTTAAATATTCATAAAAAAAGATATTTTTCCTTCTTTTTTTAATGATAAACGATGTAAATTGAACTATTTTCTACGTAAATTTCTTTTTCAACGGGTTGAGATCACGGAGAGCTAATACCACTACTAAAGAACAGAAAAAAATTCATATCCAAATCCAAATTCAATTTTCACACTTAACATAGTAAGTGTCATCTGCTTCCAGCAAACTTCTTCTTAATTATTGAACCTCTTTTATGTACTTATTAGATAGTTAGTTTAGTTAAAATAAAATATATGATAATGTTATTGAAGCATCCTCGATTTCCTGTTTTGACATTTTGTTATCCTAATACTGAAACTTGATTCTAGTCCATGATTATTATAGTTTTCCTTCATTTGGGATCTCTTGTATAGAATTAGTAGATGTTAATCTTTGAGTACCTACAAAATTGAAAATTGGGTTAGAAAAAAGTCCGCTAACATGTGATGAGTTGGTATTTTATCAATATTAGACTCTTATTCATGAATTAGTGTTATGTTTTATCGCTAATGAAGAAAATTTTAGGCCATTGTTCTCTTGTCTTGTGTGCAAGAATTTCTTGGAAAATGAAGAATGAATGATTTGGCACAAAACATTATTGAAATACATCGGTGAGGAATTGACGTCCAAAAAAATGCATAGGCGTTCCACTGGCTCAACACCGACTAGAAAAGGACAAATTGTCTAGAAACATCAGTGTCTTCGATGATCTACCGATCCAAATGCAGGCATCATTGGGATAGAAAAAGATGAAGCAGCACCTCAATTAACACTGGACGAAACTGCATCGGCATTCCACCGATGCAGTGCAAGTGAAAGACGAAAGTTTAAGGGCAAAAACAAACTTGATGTTGAAGATACTTCCTTTGGAAGGTTTTAATGAAAAATTGAGATTTGTATAATTGTGTATTATTATTTTTACCCAATTGGGATAAATCTAAGAATTATTCATTATTGCATAGTAGAAGATATAAAATAGACATTGGAGGGCATTTGCTTGCTCAAAAACAAAATTAATATTGTACTTCTCCAAGCTTGGATCCGAATTTGGTGATCATTGATAAATGAAATGAAGTATTTCTTCTTCTTTTTTCAACTTGGACCAATGGTCCATTTATTAATAAAGGAGAAAAATACAGGCTTGATTAAGACAGCCCCAGACGAACAAAAAGGAATTGCAAATTCCAGACAAAGAAAATAACAAATCTAAAGAAAAGGGAAGTCTTTAGAGAAGGACCAAGATCCTCACGCCTTTCATCTTTAAATTCGATTCAGTGAAGCTCCAGTTTGCCTTACCTTTTTTGCCGGCTTCGAAGCATGTATCCACGAGCTTAGGCAAGATTCACTTCGGCAGTACCAAGTCTCACTACTGCCATGAATTCGACTTCATTAAAGACTTCTTCCGCCCCCAGCTTGGCTTCAAACCCAACAAATCAGGTATGCCCCTTCCCTTGTGACAAAGAAATTACCTCAGAGAGTTGTGTTAACCTTTTCCATAACTTGTGCAGGCTGAGCTCCACATAAATGATACCACTGCCTCAAGTCGTGGTTTAGATCAACTCAATCCTTCAAGATGTTAGACCGAGGTAACCCTCAAACAATATGCCTTGTTATTTGTTTAGAGATTCCATGTGTTGCCCATTCGATCTTACAGTCCTTGAGTACTTATTTTGCACATTTGTCTTCATCGTGAATGCTTAAATTGATTGTTTTGTCCTTTCTTGAGTCTGAGAATTGGTGCTCCTTGCTTGTCCAACTGTAGTAAAGTTTTTGCCTGATTTGGTAGTTCATTAGTATGATTAAACTGGATATCTTCACCTGCAAAATCAACAATAAAATTAGTTAAGAAGTCTGCCGGTGAATTCCCTTCTCGAAATGTTTGACCCACTGCCACTTCTTTATTGAGCATAGCTTCCTTGATCTCCCTTATGTCTGCTGAAATAAGCCAAGGAACTTCCCAATTCTCATCCAAGATCTTCGTAATGATTAACGAATTTGTTTCCATTATCAGAGGTAAAATATTATGGCTTAAGCAATAAAATAAACCATCTTTAAATCCTTTAACTTTAGCCTTTAATACTGAACAAAACTCCAACTTGCTAGCTTTAGCATAAACCAAATCTCCATAACCATCTCTTATGCAAAATGCCTTGGAACACATGTCATGGTTGACTTGACAAGAAGCATCAGAGTTACATTTGTATCTTCTTCCCTCAGGGCACTTCCACCGTATCACCTTGGTTCTTATTAGAGGTGTATAACTTTCCAGAAATTGTACAATCTCTGGCCAGGTGTTAGGCATTTCTACCAACCAAGGGTACTTTGCTCTTGCCATGAAGTATACATTTCTATTGATCTCCAACACCATTGCATGTCTAGTGATACTTCCCCATGTAAGACTATATTTCTCCTTTTCCACAATTGCCAAATGATTAAAGATGGCATGGCTCTACACAGAGGTGTTAATTTAGCTGCACGGTCCTTTGTCTGTCTCATCTGACGGAATGGACCTTGCATGCCCATTGCTGCTGCAAACAACTTCCATAAATAATTAGCATCAGGACATGTTATAAATAGGTGGTTAAAATATTCATGTTCCTGACTGTTACAACAACAACACTCAATGGAATCAACAATCCTGCACCTAACTAGGACTTCTCCTATTGGAATCCTCTTAAACCATATCCACCACATCAGAAAAGATATTTTGAAAAGTAGGCCTTTCTCCCATATAAATAATATATCTTTTTGAGGATCCTTCCTGCTTCTGATAATATCACATGCACTCTTTACTGAAAAGTTTCTTTTACCGTTGGGCATCCACCACTGCTTGTCCCTCTCCTCTACATGTTGAGTATGACCCAATATAGCTTTTACATGATCACAAATATCTTTATCAAAAAGTTCATTCATCAGGTTTACATTCCATCTTCCATCCAATCTGAGCTGATTAACTTCTTCCAGGTTCTCAGGAATAACATGATCAATAGGCATAATATAGTGTAAAGCTCCAAATTGTGTCCAATTATCATACCATAAGCTAGCATGACCACATCTAGGTTCCCACCATATTTCTTGATCAAAACTATCTCTGGCCATTAACATCATCTTTCAAACTTGAGATCCACCTTTCCATTCCACCACTTAGGGTCTATACCTCTTACAATACTTATTCCACATAAACTGGGACCATAGTGAATTTTTTGTTCTAAAATTCCACCATAGTTTTGCAAAAACAGCTTTGGACACATCAAATAGAGATTTGAACCCAAGACCCCCTTCCTCTTTAGGTAGACAAATGCCATCCATGCTATACAGTGCTTTGACTTGCCATTTTCTTTGAAGTTCCAAAGAAACTTTGCAAACATTCTATGAAGGTCCTTAACTACACATTTTGGTGGCACTAACACTGATAATAAGTAAATAAGAATACTTTGCAACACATGATTGATCAGTACAACCTTACCACTAAAGGACATGAACTTACTTTTCCAGACTTTCAACTTATTTTGAACAGTTTTAATCAGTTCATTAAAATGAGATTACTTCATCTTTGCATGACTAATAGGTCATCCTAAATAAATTATGGGGAAATTACCTCTTACAATAGTTTCCTCCACTGCCTGTATAAGAGCATTACCAGCTATATTAAACATGTAGAAGTGGCTCTTATCTTTATTGATCTTTTACCCTGATTGGTTTTCATACTCCTTCAAAGTATACATAATAAGATCAATAGATTTCTTCTCAGTAGCAGCAAATATGATTGTATCATCTGCATAAGCAATATGATTTAACCTCTCACTCCACTTTGGCATCCCATATCCTTTGAATTCAGTATTATAAAACAATTGGTTTAGTGCTCTGGTGAGCACTTCTATAGTGATTATAAATAAAGCAGGTGATAGAGGATCCCCTACTTCACCCCTCTAGAGGAATGAAAAAAACCATGTGTCTGGCCATTAATTAGAATAGAGTACCAGTTGTTGGCTATCAGTCTTCAAATCATATCAACCACCACTGAGTTAAAGCCCATATGTTCAAGTACTTTCAGTAGGAAATTCCAATTCACCCTATCATAAGATTTAGCCATGTCTAGCTTCATCACAACATTGGCTGGCTTACCTCTTTTTTTGATATCTGTGATAATTTCTTGTGCTAATAGTACATTTTCTGAGATGCTTCCACTCTTCACAAATCCAGACTGATTTACAGAAATTATTCTTGGTAATAAGTCTTCAAGTCTATCATGTAATGTTCTAGAGATCACCTTATTTATGAAATTACTTAGACTAATTGGTCTTAAGTCTGAGAAGGTTTGAATGATCTCCTTCTTAGGCAATAAAACCAAATTAGTGTGAGTAATAGATTTAGGAAGGGTGTTTCCCTGGAAAAATGATTAAACAATATCCACAATATCTGCTCCAACTATCTCCCAACAAGCCTGAAAGAAGTGTCATGTAAAACCCTCTAGACCACATATATGCTCCCCATTAAGCTCAAAGACTATTTTTTTAATCTTATTTTCCTCAGGTATTGCCTGTAGGAGATCATTTTCTTAAATAGTCACCAGAGGGCGAATGTTCTGTAAGAGGGAAAAGTCACTTTACACGTTGGTTCCAGAAAATTGTTTCTGAAAGAAACTTATTGCTTTAACTGCCACTTCATCCTCTCCTTGGGCCCACTGACCATCAGTTTTCAGTATTCTCTGAATATTCAATCTTTTCCTCCTGCCTCTTACCAAGCCATGAAAATATTTGATGTTCCTATCTCCCTCTAAATGTCATTGAATACTTGCCTTCTGCCTTCAAAACTCCTCATCATAGTGTAAGTACACCTTATATTCAGCATAAGCTTGCTGTAGAATAGCTCTATTAGATGATGCAAGATTTTACTCATATAAATCCTCCTTCATCTTAGCTATTTCTTCTCTGATATGTAGTTATTTGAAGATATCACCAAATTGTTCCCTACTCCATTTGGATAAGGACATTTTTGTGCTTTTAGATCTTAACTTCCATTGTAGTAAAACATCATCAGAGTGAACTTCATTCCAGCTAGCCTTCACCACATCTTTAAATTCTGCCTTGTCAATCAAAAATCTTAAATACCTGAATAGTTTTATAAAATTCTGGTTCTGACCTCCATATTTTAGTAGTAATGGTGATTAGTCAGATCCAGTTCTAGCTAGGTGTTGCAGTTCCAAGTTGCCAAGTACATCTTGTAGCTTCTGATTGATTAACACTTTATCATATCTTTTAAATATACATTCTCCATCAGATCTTTCATTCCACTAATTAAATGGGCTGCCAGAGAAATTTATATCAAACAGGCCACAAGAATTGATACAAAAAGCAAAGTCCTCATATCTTTGGATATAAACATGAAGACCTCTTATCTTTTCATCTTCCCTCAGAATTACATTGTAGTCTCCCCCTACCATCGAGTATTGATCATTAATGTAATACAAGTCATTCCAAAGTTCTATCATCTCCTATGCTGAACATTTGGCATATATCATAGTAGTAAGCAATTGTTGTCCATCTTCCAATGTGAGCTGAAGAGCGATTTGCTGATCATTATCTGAGATCACCCCTACCTGAATATGATCTCTTATAAATACCCATATCTTTCCATTTGAGTTGTAGTTCACATAATTCATCCCTAATCTCCTCTTAAAATTTTGTATTTTCCTAGTACCTTGAAATGGTTCTGGCAAAGCAATTAAGAATAATTTATGATGTATGTGTAGCATTTGAACTCTGTGGAATGTATTTTGAGTTCGCATAGACCTTATGTTCCAAATGAGTGCTTTCATTATCATCTAATTGATGGCTTTACCACTATCTTGGCATGTATTCTTGTTGGTTGAACTTCAACCTCCTTTTTATTTTTACCTTTTTTGTCTTTCGATAAAACTAAAGGAGAGAGTCCAGCCTCTTTACATACCACCACTACATTTTGATCACTATTCACTTCATTATTATCTTCTATGAACTCATTGGTATCTTTGCTCTACACCATCATATCCTCTTGACTTTGATGTGATACTAGTATGTGTAGTTTCTCCATAGGGGCTGATTTGGCACTATAAATCATTATTGTTGACCTATTACTTCTCTGCTGCTGGTATATCTGGATCTAGTATTGCTTCACAAGAAAGTCTTTCTCCAACAAATGGAACTGCAATTTGAAGGGAAGTTTGGTAATCAGCCTCAACTAGTTTTTCCATTAGTAACCTGTCTTACTCTTCTTTATATGTGGCCTTCACTACTGCAACAACCCCTGATTCTTTTATATTTATCTGATGAAGATTGATCTCCTCTGAAATTTTCTTTGCAGGACCAATCATCAATTATTTTTCTCCTTCTCCAATCCTTATATCTATCATTCCTTGTGACTGTTGATCATTATGCCCCAAATGTTCGTCCATTAATTCCCCATTATGTTTTTTTCTGCATTATTGGTATTGTCCTGCTCTGTGGTGCTGTTAAAGCTACTAGTGTCACCCCCTCCCTTTCCTGGATAATTGGCAAAAACATTAGTTATCCACTCTTTTATGGATGAGTGATGATGACCTTTATTAGCTTCCCTCTGACTCTTGACTTCACTAGTTTTATCATTAATATCATTTCCCCCAGTAGATTCCTCCGGTGGCCTCTCTTATTTCTTCTCAGCTAGTGCAGCAAAAGCATTATCAGTATTAATGTTTTTGTCTGACTTTCTTTGTACTCCAGCTTCTTGTTCAACCTCCCTGTCTCTTGACTCTTGTATGTTAATGGGTTTCCAATATCTCCGAATAACTTTTCTCCTTCTTGTTGCAAATTCATTGCCCTGCTCTTCATTGTTGTTACCTTTTGGCCCTTGTTCTGTCTCCTTTTTAGTGTATTCCTTAATCTGCCTCAGTTCGGGATGTGAGTTTCTACATGTTTGAAACGACCCCAAAATGTCGAAAATGTGCTTCGGAAACACCTATAATTGTAATTTCCATATATCTCAAAATCCGTGCATGATTTCGGAAATTCGACTTCATATTCTTATTCGTGGGGTCAAATTGAGTAGGAAATGGGTCTAACCCGAATTTTAGAACAATCGTATCAAAATTCGAAAATCGCAAAAAATGCGATTTTCAGGGTCAACTTTAAAGGGGCATATCTCTTAGCACACAAGGAACTGGAAGGGCCGCTACCTATTAAATTAAACCTCTACAAGTTAGCTTTCCAATGCAATTGGTTTCACCTCATTCCGAGTTAGGATGAGGGAGTTATGACCATTTTCGTAAA